CTATGCTTATAATGTCGGTGTTTCTCTATACTGAGTAATTTATTTATTTATATTTTGTCTGTTTTGATTGTTTTGTTGATGTTTTGTTCCCTTTTTTTGTTGTTGTTTTCTTGCTTGTGGAAAAATAACGAAAATAAAGAATATAAAAAAAAAAAGATTACACTCACAAATTTGAAGAGGATCAGATCAAAACTGTTAGAGTTCGTTAAAAGTACAACATAAATGCACAAAATCTAGGAGGAAGTTCAAAATAGCCGACTTCCTGTTGTGTTTAGGGCTATGCTCCAAGAGACGTTTTTGTAGGTATTGGGTCATTACATGCATGTACCAAATTTCATACCTGTACGTGAAACGTAGAGCCGGGGCAAAATGTGATGGCAATAATTTAAAGAATTTGCCCCACCCAATTTTGAAAACCACATCACACGTAAATTTTCACGACTTCTGAAGCGTGTGCAAAGTTTCATGAGTTTTCGAGAATGTTTAGGCCTTATAAAAAGCGATTCTTTAAGAGAAGAAGAATAATAATAAACAGAACAAAAACAATAGGGTCCTCTCACCATCGGTGCTCGGCCCTAATTATATTAATGTATATTTTTACCATAAATTCTTGTCAGAACATACTTCAAAGACAATATTGTAATTCTAAAGTAACATATAAAGTTGAACTTAAAGGGTTAGTTCACTCAAAAATTCTCGCCCTCATGTCGTTACAAACCCATAAGACTTTTGTTCATCTTTGGAACACAAATCTTCAAATTTTCTTGCTTTATATGATGAACAGAACCAACCTTATTGGTTCTACTCTTTCCCATATCTGATGTGAGAGTTTTTATGCGAGTGAAAGCCTAAATTCAATCTGTTCATCATATTAAGCGAGTGCGTCTCTTCAGAAAATTTGGAATAACCTCTCAATTCATATGGATTAGTTTTACGATCCCTTTATACATTTTTGGAAATGTCAAAGTAGTTGCGCAGACTGTCAATGGAGAGAGAAATCTCTCAGACTTCATTTAAAATATCTCCATTTGTTTGGAACGACATGAAGGTGAGTAAATGATCTTCAGTTTCCATTCAACCAATGTTTAATATAAAAAATTTGAAATAGTAATACTGATGCAAGTCTTAAAAATGTGTATGTATTACATTATAATATAGGTTCCTGGCTTGTAAGGCCAGAACTTCAATGCTATGTTAAATCAGTCCATTTATGGATTCTAGCGAACTGATTTTTTAGCTCATGTGCTCTCAGGGTCATTCAGTCTGACCACCCATGTGCTAACAGGGTTCTGACATTCTCCTGGCTGTAAAAATAGAAGACCTGCCCTGTCCTGCCTCTGACCTCTCCACCCATAATCACAAAGGAGACAAGACCGACCCACTATACTTATCCCACTGCATCCCCTAACAATACTGTCAAGCTGAAACTCATTTAAAAAAAAAACAAAAAAAACGCTGCACTTCAATTCAACAAAACCTGTTTGTTTGTTTCTTTGCTAAGAATATTTTTGGTTTACAAATGGAGATTCCTAAACGGGGCTCGCCGACCACATTCAGTATGCTAAGTTTTAAGGCTTTACTCATTAAAGTAGACAAAATGTACGCATCCATGACCATTTATCAGTCATGAGCAGTACATCAGTGAACGTAATATTTATGGAAATGAACACCCTTATAATTACGATAAAATAGGGTGCCTGCATGTGGCTTTAGTTGTCAGACGTGATGATGTAAAAAGAAATGATGAACCGGTTCAGAGAAATGAATCAGACTTCCCATCACTGTCAAGAGCGCATAGCTGTATATCATCTCACTGACTGTTGATACAATAGTGCCAGTTAAACTGGGTGTAGACTCTAATTTTGTGTTAGTAAAGCAGAACTCGCAAACATAGCAGTGTTGAAATGTGGTAAACATGAGTGGGTGAGGCCAGATGGAGTAAACATGTTCTTGTCGAAGCTTGTGAATTCTTCACATTTTATCCCTGTGAATGTTTCTAATGATTCTCACATTCTTCATCTCAAAGGAATAGCAGCAACTTTTGGTTATTAAAGCAGACTTTTCCTCTCCCTTTCAGGACAGATAATTGACACAATATGTTTTGAGTAGTTATGCCTCGCAGAAATTCTTCAAATTAAATATTTATTAGACTTATAATATCCATCTGGAACATATCAGTGTTTTTAAATCTACATACAGCTGTAAAATACACTGGAGCAGATGATTCTAGGATTCTTGAATGTGAACAGAGTATTTTATCAGCTCAAATATGTGAGGAACTTGCCAGTTGTACACAGTGAAAAACATTCTCCACTGACCTAGAAGAAAAACACTACTGCAAGTGGCATGTGACTGCTTTAAAAGAGAGAAAAACCAGTGAATAGAAAATATGCACAAAGCAACCTCTAAAGATTATGGAGGCCCATTTCCGCCACACAAGGAAAAGAAATCATGCTTTGGTAAATAATAATTGTGACATAAAAAGCCCAAACTATAACATACTATCTCAGAATTTTGAGTTTAAATGAATTTATGACATAAAAAGTCTAAACTATGAGATACTAAGTCGTAATTTTGAGAAAAAAAAGTTGGAATTATGACATACTCTCATATTTGCGAGATACAAGTCAAAGTTCTTACATACTAAGTCAAAATAGTTAGTCAAAAGTAAGTCAAAATTATAAATGATGAGATACTGAGTTATAATTATAGATAATAGATAACATTTAAATTATAACTGTAATATAAGTCAAAATTATGAGATAAAACATAATTATTACATAAATGAAAACTCAACTTTTCATATGAATTTCCACTTAGTATGTCATAATTTCAACTTTTTATCTCACAAATATGAAAGCATAAGTCATTATCTCGATATAATGACTTAGTATCTCATGGTTTAGACTTTTCATGCCGTAATTGAATTTAAGCACAAAATTATGACAAAGTATCGTGATGGACTAAGCAGTATTTTGTCTAATGCGGCTTCCAAAGACTGACGTGTCGATACTCCTAAAGTGTTGTACCTGCCTTTCACTCCTGAAACAATCCCCCATCAGATATTCGCAGCCTCCCAAGTGATAAGGACCAGAAATATGTGGGGTTTGATTCCCGCCAACACTATCATTGACCTGTTTTTATTTTGAATATATTATCCTCTGCAGAATGAAGGCCCTTAGCATTACTTACATTCCTGGCTGCCAGGGGCTAGCGAGGGCTTTTTGATCTCTCTGTACAAGCGGCCACGTCTGAGCGATGTTAATTGAAAACCGAGGGGGATTTAGATGCTGACTACTTGCCCCTACTGAGTGGCATCAAAAATGTCCCACCATCAGCAGTTCTGTAATCTCAGCTGGAGAGCACGGGTGTATGAAAGACCGACCCAATGGGTCGGTCTAATTGACCTGTAGAAGTAAATTAGCTAAAATATTATTCAGGGCCTCACATAGAGAACTCCAATTACTATAGGCTTGGGTTTCATGTTGGGACTGCTTGTAGGTAATTATCGGACAATGTACTGTTTTTTTCAGTCTCTTATGTTTCATATTTGTATGGCATGGTGCAGAGTACAGTAAACTCTGAATAGACTAAAATGCTGCTGTATTTCATGGACGTTCATAGTGTCTTCATGCACTCATCATGGACAGACACATTACCGTTTCTGGAAACTTGAATTCCACCAAGTTAGCAAAAAAAAAAGGATTAGAGTATAATGAAACAGGACCTGTTTGTTCAACACAATTTTTTTTCTCGTACCATTCTTACGCCAAATAGTTTTTGTGTGCAAATGACATGCACTGAAAACCCATTAGGATTAGGGGTTTGGAGTGTGTGCGTATTACACACCATAAAGTGCGTATCATATGTGCGCAAAAACTGTTTGGCGTATGAATGCAGCCCGTTCTCATCCCAAGGCATCATACACTCTAAAAAATGCTGGGTTGTTTTAACCCAATTTTGGGTAAAATATGGACAAACCCAGCACATTGGGTTAAAAATGTAATTTAAAAATGTAACCCAATGGTTTGTCCATATTTTACCCAAAATTGGGTTAAAACAACCCAGCATTTTTTAGAGTGTATATCTGATGCTTTTGACCATGCGTCAACATCAGACGCACATGGCACCCTTTAGCGTCGATATGAGACGCGCCTCCTAGTGGTCTAACCCTAACCCTACCCCAGCCTTAAACCTACCCGCGTCATCAAACTGACACTAAAGGTTGCCATGTGCGTCGGATTTAGACGCATGGTCAAAAGCGTCAGTTAGATGACGCCCTAGGATGAGAATGCGTTGATAAATGGCACGAGAAATTTTATGGTACATTTTTTTCATTTAGATAAAGTCTGTTTGTAGTTGATTTTACACAGGAGTTATGGAGTCCAGGTGTTATGTACACACATGGGTTTATGAGAAAGGACTGTAAAAACACAGTCACTGATTTGAATGGGAAAAAACCTGGAGCAGAAGCAAAGATGGTATGATCTCACGTAATTGAAACACTATCAGTGTTTTCACAGTTACTATCCAATCTGAAAAAAAGTTCAACAAACAAAAATATCATAAATTCTTTTCTCTCAGAAGACACGGGAGCGCTTATTATTAAAAGTGATACAAAAAACACTTTATCGAGCTGGGAATGGCTAAAGTGGCTATTATTGTTATCTTTTTTAAGGCCTCGTGAAATAACTTAGCCTACCATATGATTTCTACCCTAGCATTGTATCAATGTGAAGAGTATGTCAAAGCTAAAATCTATTTGCAAGCCAATTTCCTCACAGTTTGTGTAAATTAGGAAGCACTTTATTACTCGAACAAAGTAAATATACATTAATGAGCACATATATTTTTGAAACAACTAAGTGTTTTTAGCTAAAAGAGTTACACAGTGTAGCTTTAAATAGGGATAGTGACAGGATTTTATGGATTGATGGTATTTTATGATTTTAATATTGTGAAAGTTCAAAATCATTAAAATGTTTTTATTTGTTTTGCAGGTAAAGGGGACATTGTTTTAGAGAATGAAGTTGTACTAACAAAAATGAAGCTCCTCAACAACTTCCCTGAGAAACTACTAAATGTTGAGGATTCCATTTCAACCATCTCCATTTCAATGTCTGAGCAGGATAACAGAGAGCCTCTCCAGGCTGACGAGGTGATCTCCATCCACAGCGCTGCTCCAGATACAACTGTGACTGAATCAAAAACAGACTATCTATCTTCGATTTTTGCTGATTCTGAGCTTCAAAGATTGTATAAGTTTGAATCTGAGGACTCTGGGGTAGAGATGACTAGTGGAGCGACTTCCCCATCCACCCCAACTGGTTCAGAGCAAAGCTTTGTGGTCCACAGTAGAGGGTCTTCATGTGACTCTGGCAATCTGACCTCTCATGCACATACTGACAATCCTCTTGAAGACAGTTCAGTCTTTTTGGAAACTGAACAAATGTCTTGTAAATGTGCTGAACAAGATACTCTTGCCATTCTGGGAGACAGAAGAGAGGATGAGAATGCTGATAATGATTTAATAGACCTGATAGCAGATTCAGAGAGGTCCGAGGACAGAACCCTGAGGAATACCATGGAGAACTGTGAAGATGAAATTGAAATCATATCAGCACAGGTGGAAATAACAGGCACTCCAATGGCTGAGGACACGATGTCAAGGAACCAGTGTTCTATTGAAGCTTACGATGGCGAAACAGGACCTGAATTTCAGCAACAGCCTTTGAGGAAAAGCACAACCAGCGACAGCTTGGATGAGTACATGGAAGAGTGCTGCAGGCTAAGTGAGGTAGACATAACAGTTTACATGTCTTTTATTGTTATATACTTGACATCATGCAGTTATGTCTGCTTTTATATAAACAACAATGGCATATATCAAGCATTTAAGTGTGATATAAACAAGAACCTGCTCTGTTTTACCTCACTGCTATGAATTACACAGAATTTACTTGGGAGAATTATGTTTTTAGTCTTTTCTAAAGATAATGTATTTTTGCTGAAAATCAAAAACAAAGGCGTGTACTGTAAAAACAGTTACAGATATGTAGAAATGTCTATCAAATAGAAGTAAACATCTGAAGTGGTGTTTACCTATTTTGCTGGAAAACAAGGCAAAAACACTGATTAAGTTTTTTTTTTTTTGCAGTGTGATTAGGAAATCAGCAGTCTAAATAATGTCCTTGAAATTAAGTTGTTTTATACCCCAGAGAAAATCAGAGTGAAATGCTCTTCCTGTCAATCAAGTTCACGATGATCGTTTACCACTGCTAAACACAACATGATATAATGCTAATTCATTGACATTATGTGAACTGAAAACAGTCCTGGGTTATTAAAATGTAAGATGCAAGTGCAGAATGTGAAATTAAGCTGTTTGAGAGAAGAAGACTGTCAGTGAAATGTTCATTGTGAACATGGTAAAATGAATAGCTACTGTTTACAGTTTAGAAGCACACACATATCCTCTCTCATTAGCCGTAATGACGGTGTTCCCACAGCTTGACGTCATCAGCTCATCACAGAGTGTGTATGATTTGACCAAAAAGGAAAACAGGATAAAAGCCTTCCTGTCAGCAGTGTTTCCGTAGATTTTCTTTCTTTCTAAAGAAACAGCTTCTTTTAGCATTTCTGCTGATTTGTAAAGACTTTTTCCCCCCACAAAATAAAAATATAGCACACAACAATGAGCACACCTCAGCTCGCTTCCAAGCAGCCCTTAATAGTCATATTAATATCTATAAATTTGGTTGGTCTATATACACAGTAAGTGATGCTCAACAGTTTTTTTTCTTTAGGGCCCAAATTTTACATTAGTGACAAAAAACTCAAAGCAAACACTCAAAGCAAAAGCTTGTCTTTACAATTTGAGTTTGGTTTCTAAATCCTAAATGCAATTGCTGATTACCACTGTAGCGGCCACAAAAGTCATTCAGTGAGGCCTGTTTACACCTCCTGATATTAAATTGCATTTGGGTGATCAGATCACAACATGGGGTGCGTTTCCCGAAAGCAACGTTAGCCAACTATGGTCGCAAGTTCCGTCGTTATCAGCATAGTTCAACGAGTTGGTGTTTCCCGAAACAATCGTTCCAACGAACATTCGCAAACAGCATCGCAAAGTTGTGTGGTTTAAAACGACAGCTCTCGACCTGTGGTTAGAGGCGTAGTTTATGACATTTGGATGTAATAAATTCTTATCTTGAGCTAAATAAGCAAGCTGTCATTCAGTACAACTGGTGACTTTTATTCAGAATTCATAAAAATGTCATTTACGTCTTTTAGTTTTTGAAAAGATTTAAAGTACCGATTTTGAAGATTGCGCATGTGCGTATGTGCAGTCGTGACTAGCTAGTTGATTTCTCCAACGATGCATTATACTATGGTAGTGAAGCAGCGAACTAAATTGTTGTACGAGGAAACGCACCCCTGGACGAAACCAAATACAAGTGTAAACTTAGTCTAAAACGTTTTGAGCTTGTCCACTTACGACCACTTCCAGTTAGTCGAAAACGCATTCAACCGGATTGCTTCCATATAGTAGACGTTTATGTGGTCGAATGTGTTCGTACAGCCGCAAAAGACCGACAAACTCTCTGCCTACACTGTAAAAAATATTGTTGCTTTAACTAACAAAATGAAGTAACCTGGTTCCCTTAAAATTTTAAGTTCACTGAAATGGAAAAATTTAGTTAATACAATAAAGGAAGTTGATTTAATCTCAACCAGAAACTCAAAATATTATGTTATCTGAACTACATAAATTATTTAAGTTGATTTGACAAAAGAAAAAATGTTGTGACAAATCATGAAAATATTTTTTTACAGTACGGACTTAATGTGTAAAAATTATGGGAAGCGCACTAACGATGAACGAATCCCAGATGGGATTTTAAACTTTGCCTGCTGGAGACCCAAGTTTGGTTTGAAGAGGAAAAACGTACCAAACGCAATGTTCTCGCATCATTCCTCATTTCTAACATGCACTCAGTGTTTGGCGTGGTCTTGCGGCTTCCAGAGCAGAGAGCTGATGCTGTCCGTGTGTTTTTTATCGTCATTGGCCGCGTTCATATGTAACTTGCGTGAGCTTATTTGGCCATTAGGCCGTGTGTCCACCAAAGCGTTTTTCCACGCACATGGCATATACGTTTTCAATTGTTGTCAATGGGAGCGCCTGAAGCGCTTTTTTCACGCTGAAGCGTCGAGCGCCCAGCGTTTTTTACTGGTCGTCGATAGTTGAAAAATGTTCAACGCAGCGCTCGTCACTGTCACTTTTTAGCCAGCCGTCCAATCACAATGGAGGCGGGGCGGGACTAATACCACACCGACCAATTGTCACAACTTTCAAACTGTACTGAGGATATTTTCTATCATAGCAATGAAACGTCTCAACGGAAAAAAAACGTTGCGCTGCCAAAACACTCTCAAGCGCCCAAAGCTCGGCGTCTTCAGCAGAGCGTCTAGCGTTTAGCTGGCTAAAAACGCTTTGGTGGACACACGGCCTAAGATCAAAAGATCTGAAAAAAATAAAATAAAATAAATAAAAATCACCAGCCTATAAACCATACCCTTGAAAAAATCAGGAAAGAAGTGGTTTAAAGTGGACAAAAGAGATCTTAATAGCAGGTGTAAACAGGGCCTGAGATGTGTGCTGGGGTACAGTTTTGAGAGCTAAGAGGATGTTCTGCGGGGTGTGCTGTGCAGATCTCTCCCCTTTAACGCGGCCGCCACATCACACAGCACCTGTTCATCTGTGTTGAGAGAGCATGCAGATGGCTGAGTCGATTACAGCTGCAACAGCCAATGCAATGCCTCTCATCTGGACTGTTTCCCTCAGTCCACCATGCTCGTCCAAGCCTCCCTGGATGCATCAAACAGGTGTCAAATAGCTCAAATTACTCACATATTTATCCAAATAATGCCTCTTTGATAGCTTCTGGGTCTTTTGGTGGCCAGTGACTGGACTTTTTTTTTTTTGACGAATGGTCGACTTTATGGGAGCTGCGATGACAGGTAGCCAGGGCGGTAAACTCGGCCCTCATCATCACCTGTCACCACAGCTAATAAGCTAATTCCCTTGCCTGTTAAATGGAGCTCTGTGGCCTGAGGAAGAGGATATTGAAAAGGGACTATGAGCTTTTTTCCCATCCGCTTCAAACATGGCAACTTCAAAGGGCCTCCCTCCTCCTCGTTTCTAATCTCATTTGTTCCCAACTTATGAGGGTAGGAAGGACACAGAGCTACAGTGAAGATTTAACTGTACAGCAGGTGTATGCCAATCACAATAGACTGATTGTTGTTTCTGCACTTATTTAGGGGGAGATTGAGCAAACAGTTGTACGCTTAAGGGATATTTTACTCAAAAATAAATATAAATCACTTAAATCACCCTCATTGTCATTCCAAGCCTGACTGTGTCTTTTTTGTGAAACACAGAAGAAGATTTTTTGAAAAAATGTCTCAGTGTTTCAGCAACCCAAAATAAAAGTCAGTGCGGCCAAATCTGTTTTGGACTCATTTAGACAATTGTTTTTCTATTTTATTCTTAATCTGACAAAGTAAACTGACTGAATAATAGGATATGGACTTTTGTTCATTTCTAGTGCATGTTTTAGCAGATGCCAAAACATGTCACAGTTGCACTTAATATACCCTTTATAACTCCTTGTTTATCAATAAATGAAAGCATAAATCAAATTAGCCAAAGTATTTCAGAAATGAAAGCACACGGGCCGATAATGTACAATTTCCAGTTCTGTAGAGTCCTGTGAGCTCAAATTATGTGTGGCCCTGAGCAATCAGATATGGACAGCTTGAAGAAAGGCTCATTCGCAATATTTAAAGATGGCATTGGGAATAATAAAACATGTAAAAGAGATTTAGACTCTTCTATGTTAATCAAATGCATGTGTTCGGCTGGTAGCCAGCTAGCTTGCATATGTTAGTCTCTCTGTATGTGGTATAATAAGACATTAAAAGCATTTTTTTGAGTCTCAGTTGACAGATGTGTGGAGCAGAGCGAAATATGGTATCAGGGAGGAATGAAGACAGCGTAATTGCTGTTGCCCTTCTGGAGCTCCTCAGAAACCCCCAGGACAGCCACAGCTGAGGAGTTGAATTCCTCAGCTGTAACACATAAACAGTCTTAACGCCAACATTTCCATAATGCGAGAGTTAGGCTTTAATCTAATGATAGATGAGGCATGGAGACTGGCGCTGCGTGTGCCACATCTAGCCTCAAACTTTTGGCTGACACTCCGGAATGTGACGTAACAGGTCGCGACACTTCAAGGATTTTCAATAGTTTTCAGATACACAGAAAAACACAGGATATATCAACACATCTAGCAGGACGTCTTTGGATAAATACACAAAGCTTGTTTTGTGAGAGATCATATCAGCCAACAATATTAGTTCTCAGCTTTGTTTAAGGCTCATAACCACCAGTACGATAAATGAAAATATAGTGCTAACTTCAAGAAGAACACAAGCACCATATATCTCCCTCAGGATTGAACAGTATCACCCGAGGTCACTGTATTGGGTTGTGATGGGCCGTAAATTAATCTTTAGAAAAAAAAAACAATTCTGACTCTTGAGTAATTATGCGTTCTGTAGTTTTACAACAGCTTTTTCCATCCACCTATTTTTATGCACATCTTGGGATATTGCATAAAATAAAACACTCAGTGGAAAACGCCAAGATGTGCATAAATTCTAAAAGTGCACATAAAAAAATGTACATGGTCCATTAATTTTTATCCAATAAGAAAACATGCACATAAACTACGAAGGAAACACATTTACCGAATAAATCCCTCGATGCGCAACATAAAACTCATGTGACTTTGCCTCAACAGACGATGTGATTGGATAACTGGACTAACCAGCGGATCAATCACATTGCACATAATCTCAAATGTTGGTTTGATCATTCTGAAATGCCGGAGCCAAAGTCGCTCATCTGAATGATTTGGTTTAATTCCCTCCTAGAAGCGTCTCGCAAGATAAAATGACAGTGTTTATTCCGCTTCGATGATTAAAGGAGTAGTTCACTTTAAAAAAAACTTTTGCTGATAATTTACTCACCCCCATGTCATCCAAGATATCCATGTCATTCTTTCTTCAGTCGAAAAGAAATTAAGGTTTTTGATGAAAACATTCCAGGATTTTTCTCCATATAATGCACTTCAATGGGATCCAAACGTTTCAAGGTCCAAAAGACAGTTTCAGTGCAAACTGCAAACTGTTCAGAGGGCTTTAAACTATTTCAGACGATGAATAAGGGTCTTATCAAGTGAAACGATCACTTTTTTTTTTAAATAACAAAGTTTAAGTTTTATAAGCTCAAATGATCACCTTGCTCTGTTCTGTGATGCGCGTTCGTGACTCCCCTGTTCGAACTCGTTCATCAAAATGAACGAATCTTTTCCAGAGTCAACTCGTTCATTTCATTCGTTGAATGAACCAAATGACACAAAAAAAGATTCGTTCATTTTGATGAACGAGTTCGAATAGGAGAGTCACAAATGCGCATCACAGAACAGAGCAAGGTGACCATTTGAGCTTATAAAACTTAAACTTTGTTATTTTAAAAAAAAATAAGTGATAGTTTCACTTGATAAGACCCTTATTCATCGTCTGAAATCGTTTAAAGCCCTTTGAACAGTTTGCAGTTTGCACTGAAACTGTCTTTTGGACCTTGAAACGTTTGGATCCCATTGAAGTGCATTATATGGAGAAAAATCGTGGAATGTTTTCATCAAAAACCTTAATTTCTTTTCGACTGAAGAAAGAATGACATGGATATCTTGGATGACATGGGGTGAGTAAATTATCAGCAAAAGTTTTTTTAAAAGTGAACTACTCCTTTAAGGATAAAAGAGCAAGTATTTCCTCCCTGATTGCAGCAGCTTCCATGCTTTTTGCCAATTTCCCAGGAAGTGACAATTTTGTTCTCTTTAAATCTCATCTAATCAGCTTCTATATCTAGATGTTGAACTCCCCATTGTTTTCAATGTTCTTGGTTAGCTCCATATAAATCCATATACCTTTTCCTATATCTCTGAAGACACATCTGGTTCCTCATTCCTCTCCGGCGGTGTCACATTTAGTATTGCTTTAAAACAGACCCAGTGAAATATTTCAAATAATAAAGGATTATTTTCTCAGACACGCCTGAATGGGTTTATAATATCTTCCCTCATATACAGAGCTTACGTAATTAGAAAAATATTGTTTTTGCAATCCAACCCAGAGGCATATGCACAATTGTTTTTCCCAGTTTGTTTTGATCTTAAAAACCACATCCTCACAGCAGAAAGAGCTACACCATCAATAACCACAACATCACACTTAAGTGTTAACAGCTTTATAGAATTTTTTTTTTTTTGTGTGTGTGTGTATAGGAAAACATTCCCCGCTTTGTTTCAGGGTCTGTGCAGAGACGCACGTGAGAAACGCAGATCCTTCACATTGAAAAGAGAAGCAGGGGGAGAAAGGGAGTGGTGCTTTCCCAAACGTTTGTGTCTTCCCTTCTCCTGGGTCACTAGGGGTCCTGGGCAAGGGGAAGCAGATAAGATCTGTCATGTTTCTGCAGTCATAAAGGCCTGGAACAATTACTTTCCTTTGGCTAACCCACATCATCAAGCATCACAGCTGGTAACTGCTTTATGAGAAAGCACCTGGTTGTGACGAGCCACCTGTCTACAAATGTGTAGAGAAAGATTGTATATTGTCCTTGATCTAAGCAAGTCCAAGCCTGAAAGAGCCTCAAATAGACACTTTAACACGTTTTGTTGAGTATAAGTGGACATCAACTTAAATAAGAAATGTCTTATATAGGGTGGTGATGGCACAGTGGATAAGACGCATGCATTTGGTGTGAGAGACCTGGGTTCGAATCCACTGCGAGACACCAATGTGTCCCTGAGCAAGACACTTAGTTGCTCCAGAGGCGTACGACCTCTGACATATATAGCAATTGTAAGTCGCTTTGGATAAAAGCGTCAGCTAAATGAATAAATGTAAATGTACATGAGCCATCTAAATCAAATATGGAAGTGCAATAGTGCAGTGTTACTAGAGAGACATGAGAAAAGTTCACGTTCAAGGGAGCAGAAGCGTGACCTTCCGAGGATCTCACACTCTTTCTGAGGAAACGAGTGATGTCAACTCCTAGTATTTCATATCTCCGCCATGTCCTCTATTGTTTAGCCCCTGTGTTTCCATTAATGCTGGGCTTTGGGACTGGATTGGACGCAAGTGGCACGGAAAAGCTTTCGGGGTGGAAAAGCCCGAGACCTGAACTCACATCCTGCTTTTGTTGGGACACTTTTTGGAATGTTGATCTTTGTATAAATATTTGTTCAAAATTTCCTTTGAATTTTTTTGGGGGGAAAAATGTGAGCATCTGCAGCTACAACCAAAAATAGAAGGATGAGTCAACAAATAAACAATAGGAACTGGATCTAACACGTTTTCTAATGATAAATCACACTTTTAAACTAGTTACCTTCATTTTCAAAAGTGTTCAGTTGTGTGGGGTCCAAACACTTGAGACTTGTATTTTTCTTCCTAGAGCCATTTAACTATATGTAACAGTATGTTTGGAAATTGGACCCAAAGCTGCGAATTATGTTTCCATCTACAAATTGGAATATCGCATAAAACAGATTCTGCAGTTTGGGAACCCAGTCTTGTAAGAGTTCTGGGAGGTAATTATACCGAACCACTGACGAAAGACTTTGCTCAGGCATTTCAGAACAACCAAAACAGCATTTCAGGTGCGCCCCATTTCGCAAAAATCACATGATTTTTTTGTGCATTGAGGAATTTATTTGGTAAATTAATTTCCGTTATAGTTTAAGCTCATGTTCCGACTCGAAACGAGCACACGTACACTTTTATATTCATTCATTTCCATCCAACAGTTTTTAAGTGATATCCCAAAATGCGCAAAAAATAGGTGGATGGAAACATAGCTAGTGTCAGTATTGGTTAAAAAAAAAACAATGATGTACAGTTGTCTAATGATAGCTGGTCTCCAGGAATGTGTCAATTTGTTTGAAATGCAGCGGACTAGTTGGCAAACTATTTTAGGCCATCTTGTTCGTCTAAATGTGTTTCCAGAGCTATGATAAATCCTAACAATTCCTAACAAAAAGTTAGTAAAAATACTTTTAGAGTTAAATAATGTTTGGAGACCATGGGGCTTATGTCATCAGTTTAAGACCCTTTGGTTCACCTGAACACATGCAGTTGAATGATCTTTATCAGTGACTGTGGGAACCTTTGCTTTGCGCTCATTAGCCCATCAAATGAGCCATTGGCTTTCAAAACAATAGGATACAGTTCACACTGTTCTTGTTGACTTATTTAACAAAAGTTGCTTAACCCCCTATGGTGTACATAAACATCTCAGGTAATCCCCTTATTTAGAGCCTGCCTATTGTCCAGAGAGGGGTGGGGGGTCCTTACCCAAGGGAACAGTCCCAGCCAGCGTGAATGTTTATAGCCCCCATTTTTACATTGTTTTATGAAATTTGAAATAAAATTAGTAGTTAACGTAATTATTTTTTTTTCTGTCTTGACAACAAGGTGAACCAGGCCAATCAGTCCAACCCACTGGGCTCTGGACTGGGGTACCTAGAGCACATCTGCCAACTTATAGAGAAGATCGGTCAGCTCCAGGAACACAACCTCCGACTACAGAAACAGATCTGTGGCCTGCAGAAGGATGGCCGAGTGATCAAGACTAAAGAGGTATCAATCTGCCAGCATTCATCTTCATAAGCTTGGCCCAGAGAATAACAAAAGTGTAGATCAAGTTTTGAAAACACATCATACTTCTTAATTTGAAACTGCTTAAAGACATTGCTGTAGGTCTGGGTTTGAAAGATGACGTCTTGGAATTATAATTTGTTGAGGGTCAAAGCCCATATTGATGCCTGGGGCAAAGGATTATTGGTTCATACTGTGCCAATGTAAATCCAGCTGTTTTGAGTGGGGTTTAGGGGTTTTCAGTCATGACGGATAAAAGTGTATTTAATAAACAGAGCTGCTGGGTTCAGCCCTTTTCGACCCGCACACAGAGAGGGTATTCGTTTCAAAGGACCTGATGTCCCCTCACATGGATTTCATTTGTTTTTATGCGTCCCATGTTGACATTATTCAGGACGAAAGTATTTTCCTGTGTCTTTGTTTAGAGGGTCATTGAGAGAAGCTCTCTAAGTCATGAAATTTGCTAAACAAAATATGGTTAGAAAATGGTTTGTCAGGTCACACTTTAGATTAGGGTACAATTCTCACTATTAACCAATTATTAACTATGACTTTAACCTCAATAAACTCCTTAGTACTGCTTATTAATCATTAGTTAGGTAGTTGTTAAGTTTAGGTATTAGGTAGGATTATGGATGTAGAATATGGTCATGCAGAATAAGGCATTAATATGTGGCTTATAAGTACTAAACATCAACTATCGTAGTAATATGCATGCAAGTTAATAATGGGAATTAGACCTGACACTGAAGTGTTACGTTATGTCATTGTGAATGAATTCTGGTAAATCATAAAGCTGTTCAGATTCAATTAAGTTAACAATGTGGAACCCATAAAATCTGAACTTAGCAAATGTGCTTGAACAAGAACAAGAGTGAGTCTGGCTTGAATGTTATCAGCCAAAAGCCACAGGAAAAACTTAACACTTTTACAACGTTTTGTATAAAGTTATGGATGTTTTTCTACCATGTCCGCCTTTGTTTTTCCCTTTGGATTTGTACCTCTCCTGAATTAGTAACACAACGCCAAAATATTGAGACCAGGAAGGGAGCTTGTCTTTGTTGAATGCGGATGCAAGTTAGAAAGCTGGACGCAACCCCCAGAAATGGGATAAAGAACTCTTTTCCCACCAGCATTTTTAAAAAACTTTTACGTTTACATTTTGACAACAAAAAGTTATAGGCAGTTTTGATTTTGATTTATATGTGATTTAATGTTTGATGATCGAGTTAGTTCAAATTTATTACATTTTGTTGTAAAAAAAAATGTTTTTTTGTTTTAATAAAAGTGATAGCCAAAATGTAGGAAATGATTGTGGGCCCTAATGTTCGAAATAATTAATTAGGTAAACCTAAATTAAACCTATTTTCCAGCATGCTTTGCCATGGCACTCGTAGTTGTAAGGGAGAGTAAATGCTTTTTTTTGGTGCAAGATTCATTTTAAGTGGATGATTAAGTAGTGTCTCATATTTTCATATGTTAATTTAGATGTTTCTGTTTGGTTCCATGTTTTTTTATTTTTTTATTTCAAGTACAAACTAAAAATCTGCCAGTACTTACCTAAACTTTGAATTTCTTAACTTGAAAAAAATGACGTAATCAGTTACATCAGACTTTGAGTTGACAACTTTTTCGTGTTTACAGAGGGGGCTTTAGCCCAAGCAAAGCCAGGCTTAGTACCACCACAGATCAGCAATGCTTTACCATATAACAGTACAAATATTGATTGCCGGGATATTCCGCCAATGGCAGGGTAAGAGTTCAAGAAAAGAACTGAAAATGTCCCAAATTTATTAATGACATTCATTTATTTAGCTAATTATGTATTTTTAAATATTTTCAAAATAAAATCAGTAAATCATGGTATATCAAATCATGTACAATACACAAATCCTTGTGTGCTTATTGCAGCAGTCATTGAAACGGATATAGGTTGAGACAATACTTTAATTGTTGTGGCAGGTTTCAATATCACTCTGTGTTCTTGCTTTTTTCAAATACTGTACATGATGGGGGATAAAACCCATTTTTATAATTCCTGAGTGAAATTTGCAAACGTATTTAATATACCGACCCCCAGTCTCTTCTCTCTAGTCCTTTGCTTACCGACTAAAAGGCTGTGACAGTATATTGCGTAGCCGTCTTCCTGATCTCTGGATGCTGTGCTGTTGGATGAGAACAGTTTTGTTCATGGTTTTTCAGAGGGTCAACTCCAAACTGGCTCTGTCAGGTCGGGCCCTGGGGCCAGAAAGGACTTTACATGGTCACAGTGAGTGAGCTCAGTGGGGGCCTGCTCTTGAAAGTCATCAAAGAAAGCACGAGAGAATGAGGGGCAAAAGAAAGGAGGACATTTAAAAAATGTTCCTTCTTACAGAAACCATGCATACGTGCTTGCATGAAATATTTTTGCCTTATTTTAGGTTTGGGAATCACGTTTTCTCAGAACTGGTTCCATTTATTTAACTGGTCGAAAGACTAAAAAAATCCAACACAGTCTCACGGCTATTTTGATTTGTTGCAACTTCGTATGAATCCATAAAAAACGCATGTACGTTTTTGTACGATATGCTCTCATCCCACTGAGGGGTATAGGTTCAGGGATGGAGCTTCATACAAATTATACATTTTCACACAAATCCGATCCATTTTTCCCCGTGAGATCGGGGGAAGATTTGAGTGTTTGTACGCTAAAATCCACGTCAACGTTCATATTTATAAAAATGATGGGCCTTTGTTGTGGAAAAGTAATTGGTGCCACGTCAGGGTCTAAGCAGACGTACACACTGTTCCTTGTGGCAGAGAGACGGAGTACTGCGGGTATTTCACGAGTTCACACTTACGCATAATGCGTATTTGGCGTGCTGTCCGGGGGAAATCGGCCCGAACCCAGAGTACTCACCCCTGTATGTAAAGTGGTTTAGGACTAAAAGAGTGGAGAGGGGGTGGTGGTAGTACACGTTTTAATCATGATTGCTGAGTGCTCTCCACTCGTGTTAATTATCCGAACGTGCTTCTCCCGAACTTTAATAAAACATCATTTGGAAATATAAGCAATCCTTGCTGCTCACTATTCTCAAATAAGGATTTAGACTTTGACTGGTGCTTTTATACCTTAATGACATTAATTAGAGGGCGTTTACAAGACAGAGATCTGAAACCATTCAGCTGTGCACTTATCATTTGCGACTGATAAATTTCACTTCTAGAAGAGACATATGCAGGTTTTTCACACATAAGCACAGTTGAGAAATGATTGTAAGATCAAATTAGGATGTTTTTGCTCATTAAATTTATGAATTATCTCTTTGAATCAGTTAAAGAACGTGTTCACTCACTGAAATGCTCAGTAGTAAAAGTAGTGGAATCGTTAAGGAATCAGAAATGTTCAGTTGAATGTCAATTGTCAAATTCTTTATTTCTTAAAATTCCAAGTGGAAAAAGTGTGGCACATGAATAGTTTAAGGACCACACGGCGTGTTCTCCCTGGGTCTTTGATTCCCTGGGCTGTGTGTGCCTTTGGAGAACAAGCAACAGGCAGCAACATGCTGTTACACACATCAAAAGGGAGGGGAACTCCTGAAACGTGCCTCAGTCTCCACTATAATGGACCAATCTGTCTCGCCAGTCGCCTCTCTGGCTGTTTTACCCACCTACCCCTAAACCCACACAGGATGCTTTCATCTGTACACATAAAAAGCATTCAGGACTCAAACAATTTGCTGTTACCACCATTATAGTGTCCTCTTGTTAGTCCTACATGTTGATCTCTTCATTTATCAGCCGTGACCAACCCGATCAAAAGATATGTTGAAGGATCTGGTGTTTTGGTTTATGGGACATTTAAGGTGAATTCTTTCATCTTCAGTCCATGTTCAATGCTCATGTTTCTTTCTTCTCAAATACATCAAGAAATCTAAATGATGCATTGATACTTAAAGAGGAATCAGTGTTCACTGTTCAGCATGTCTTTGCTCTCAGTGCCAACAACAAAATCCTTAGCAAACGGATCCACCATGGCATCCTCAACTCATCTATCAGAAAGCGTTTACCATGCAAATACAGATGTAATGGAAACAATGGGATAATCTTGGGTAAACAGATCTCATCACTTACACAAAACACTGTCATGGGAATTTCAGAGGCTAAAAACTCACTATTTTTTTCTAAAAAGCGTAGGTTCTTATATTTTGAATACTGTGTATTAATATGCATAAGTCATCTACTACACTGCACATCTGGTTTGGAAAAGAATGTGTAATTATAAGAAAAATAGGTGGAACTGGTTGAGGTGGTCCAAATGAGGATACATGAGGAAAATGCTTAAAATAGTGACCCAGATAAAGACATACCAAAGGAAAAGTAAAATCAGGGTCATTTTGATTTTGTCTCATGTGAGAGTGAATTTGAACTGTAGAGCAAATGGAGACTTAAGCTTCTCAAAATCAAATTCTTTCAAGACCTAATTACCTGAGCTCTAATCTATATTCATTTTATAGCTCTGTGCACAGAATGAGTAACAGAAAAAAAGACACAAGTGAAGATGACTTTCTCATAAGATATTTAAGTAAACCTTGATATTTAAATGAAATATGACTGATATCTAAGTACAGTTTTACTCTGGTCAATCACAGTTGGATAAATCATGTCATGTAAGATAAAGGTAGAATCAGATATCGTAGGATTAAAAAAATAACCACATTTTTAAACGTAACATTTATGTAGCAGCAAGAAAACCCCAAATATATTGAAATAAAAAATCTATTCGCATAGATTTTGAATGGACGTGTTTGAGGGCTTCAGTACTTTTACACTTGTAAATCTGAACCAGATGTCTAATATATGGGCCAAGTATGTGCTATCATCCTTGACCCAGGGGCGTGAACATCATCAAATTGAATTTAGATTTCATAAAGTGAACTATTTTAAGTGCTCTTCTATCCCAAATGACCACATTTTAATTTTGTTTTGGAGCATTTTTTTATCTATACAAAACAAAAGCTTTACAAAATGTGCGCATTTTACAATGTATGCATTTGCATTCATAAATAAATGACTAACAAAATGAGTAAATAAAAGGGCCTTAATTTACGTATATGTATGAGACAAATTCTCAATTCAAACTCTTTTTTAGGACTTTTTCATACATCACTGCAGCTGTGGAGCAGCCAGCTTGGCCTTCCAAGAGCTCAAGAGACACTTTCACAGTGATCACTACAGCCTAACAGCATCAAGCAGCACGCTGTCTGACCTGACCACAATCCCTGAGGTCACGCGCACCCCCCTCAGGACAGCAGCGAGAGGTCAGTGTAAACACACCCACAGGGATACGATTAATCTGGGTTTCCATTGATAAATAGATAGATATAGAACAATCTATCTAACAGACTATCTATCTATCTATCTATCTATCTAGATAACCCCCTCTAAGTGTCCCGCATATAAACTCTTGCTGTCCACGTAGCACTAAAGACATGTTTTTCATGGTTGTTTTCCTTCCATCTCATGTTCCATCAGGTGGGTGGGCGACAAAACATTCGTCTCAGGAGAAATGGGAAATGAACACTTTAGTGATAGGTGGAATTTCTGGAATTCCATATAGAGAGAAGAAGCATATCTCAGGGATTCTGGGACTTTTTGTGGGCAGGGAAAACAGAGCTAATGTACGTTTCAGTATCCACTCTTAAAAAACTGTAAATAAGTGATCATGAGCTTATGGATTTCCATTTAAACCCATCACAAGTAGTGGCAGAAGCAATGACATGCATCTGAGTGAATGAGATGGAGGGAAGGGCATAAAAAAATGGGATTTAGATACTGTCCTGTGTTGTGTCTGAAATCGCCTCCTATACCCTCGCTCACTTTTCTCTACATTCAGACACTGCACCACATCCTTCAGAGGACATAGAGTTAAGTCATAAATCACAAATTCATAAGAGTACATAGTCATTTCCTCTCATAGAGAGAACTATATACGAGTATGTTTTCTTCTGTACAGATGGTGAGATGGGCTGTCAACCTGCTCTACCCGTTTGGAAAAGGGGTCTGAATCGAAGAAGCTACACAGAGGGAGAAGCCAAGTACCTGAGCGACAGCGCTGAGGTCCTCTCTGCTCCACACAGACGGGTGAGGCACTTGGATATCAACACACTGACTCACTTTGACAAACACACATCTTTCAACACTCAGGGGAAGCGGATTATAGTGAATGTTTGGTCAAGCCTCTTGGTCTCATGCATTGGTTTACTCATTAAATTACAGAGAATGAAAATGGAAGTAGAGCCAAACAGTTGAAACTGTTAGTCACATTAGTGACAATTTTTTAGATGACAAAGCATTCCACTTCAGGGATGTGGAATTTATGACATTAGAGAAGTAGTTATAAAAAAAGTGTATATAAAATCTGTTTTGTAACTTTAAAAGATATCCACATGACGAATCAAAGTTAATGACAAGCTTTTTTCACAAGCTGAAGTAAATACTAATTATATAAAAGGTGCATGGTGTCATATACAAAATACAATCATGGTAACAGACACCTCTAAAAGGCTCTAATACAATAATAATTTACCAACACAAGATGTAACAAAACCATGTATATAACTGATAAAAAAAACCGATTAATTGTTTTCACTGTAAATTACATTGACGACTTGTTCTTTTATCACTTCTAGAAACTGTATATAACTGTGTAAAATCACATCAGATATATTTCAGTTTTTCACCATATATAAATAAACTCACGTTTAACCAATTAACAGGTTTTAACCATATAATTTTTAATGTGGCACCTTTGTGTGTCTAGTTGAGTGAGAACTACACTTGGGGAAGAGTGAAGGAACTGGTGAAGAAGACTAAACTGAGGAACCAGAGCAGGCTGGGACTGTCTTCAGGCTCCTTGAAGAGATCATGTCCACAGCTTTACCGGTACCCCATCCCTGTTTTCATAATAATTCAGGAATTTCGGATCATTAGCACTCAAAACAATGCTCAGATTTGATCTCCCTCTGAAGGCTCATTGAATGTTATTTTATAAATAAATAGAATATATATTATTTCTCAAAAGCCTGATCAACATTATTTCACAGACAATTAGTTTTGATATTGAAAATGAATCAGAATAGAAATTAATTCAAGCTTTACACACTGCCCTATTGTGCTGTTCCCATTTGGACTACAGTAACTTCTAGGAAACTGCATCACAAACACAAGTAGTACTAATGGCTCTGCTCTTTTGAAGTTATGACTCACTATGTGTTTAAGATAAGACTCTGATCACAACCGAACGCTGGTAAACTGCTGGGCGTCCTAATCTCGCCTGAATGCTGCCTCCTCTTAAATACCTCAGCACTGGCTCATGTGGTAGTCGGTGACTAGCACCACGCTGTATGAATGTGCAGAGAGCAGTCCAGTATTTTAGTGTTTTTTTTTTCTACTTTTCTAGTATTTTGAATTCTTTAGTTTTAATTTAAAGAGAAGTTTACCTTTAAAATGAGTTTATGTGCTTTTGTAATGCTTCATGGAAAAAAAGCGAAGATTATGAACAAACAGCAAGGAAGAACAAAAAACAAACACAGTAAATAGAATCGAGAGCACAGCAGCTCCAGGCGAACAAAGACCCACCAAACTGTCCTGTTACTACAGCTAACATTACAACAACAGCATATCTTGGTCCAGTGAAACAGCAAACCCAATGTTACTCAGTCACGGAGCAGAAACAACAACCTTGGCGTCCATTTTCAAGTCTTCCCCCTTTGGTTTCTCCAGCGCTGGAAAGCTTTTCTAATATTAACGTGGTTCCTAAAGCTCTTGCCTGATCATAACTTAATATTCCTCTGACTTTTCCTCTTTTTGTAATGTCTCTCAGCCATCTTTCTTTCTACAGTCTTTCTTTAAATATCCCTCTTGCTCTCTCTCTCTCTTTCAACAGCGTTTCTTAAAAATGACTTTAATTCATGCTTGACTAATGCACACACGACCTCTAGTTCATGTATGACTCACAAAGAACTATCATTCATTAATGACTGATTAATAGATTAAATCTTATATTAATTGCTAATTAAATGTGTCCTCAAAGATTAATTCTCTTCAAACATTTAGTATTAACTAATAGTGAAAATTTGTGTAATTCACAATGGGTCGAAGCCATGCATTTCAACTTTCAGTTGTCTGCAACGGGATACCATGAAGTTCTTCATGAGTCATACATGAACTCAAGATTACCTGTGCTTTAGTTAAGCATGAATTAATACATATTAGTGCATCCACATTGTTACTGTTTTTAATTTTTCTAATTAGCTCTATGCCTAATCTACTTTTATTTCAATTTTAGTCATTTTAAGAGGCTACTTAATTTCTAATTTTTAAAAAATAGGCAACATTTCTAATTTTATAACTTAACTTCAGCTTTATATAAACTATTTTCAGTTTGTTAAAAATAACAACCCTGATTCAGTGACTATACTTTCTGTTTGTACATCTATTATTAATAAATCAGTTTATACTGCGATAATGACTGATTAACCAAAGTGTTTATTCGTTTACTGCGAGGCTAGATCCAAGTTTGCTGACCAAATTGCAACTCTAGATCACTTTCTGAACTAATAACAGACACTTCTGTGACGTAAGGAAGAGCGTTTTAGGGACAAATATCTTAAAAATGTATTTTCCCTCTACAAAAGAGCTCAACTTATTCCAAGTTGCAGTGATCCAACACACAGGTTGGCACAGACTCAGATGAATAGTTATGCTGGTGGGAGTAGGAGAATTCCCCATGTTGTTCACTCATTAGATGAGATATGGGAGCTATGCTAAACGCACTCTCCTCCCGAGAGTAGATAGGAATATCCATATGAACCGGTGATTCATACAATTTTCTCATTTCATAATATTCTGTGTGTTGCATAAGTGCAATGCCATTTGAAAAATTAAGTCAGTTAGGTCACCAACTTAATGAGGCTTTAACACTCTCGAGCTGTTTAGAAAAGGGTATTCAAAATGTATTTAAAATATATTAGGTAGTTTCCCAATATTTGCCATGATAAGGAAAGCATGCTTGAAATCCAATCCCAAATGACTGCAAATGTGTCATAATTTGATACGATTACGATTTGCTAAAATGGTTTCGATCTTCCTCACAGCCCAGATGTGATGTCAGCAGAGCGCCCCAGGACAAACAGAAACTCCATGATCGCTTTGGGCCATCAGAAACTGGACTATGTGTGGCCACAGTAGTATTGATCAGGTAGGCGAAAAAACACATCATCTACCAGTTCCTATTGCAATAACTATGAACATGAAGATCAAAAACTGACAATTTAATAATAACATTTTTGACTAGTAAATAGACTAAATTTATCTTGAAGGCACCGCAAGTCAATTTAGATAAAAGTGTCTGTGAAATTCATACATGTAAATGTAAAATATAGCTGAGAGCAGCAAAATTGGGGCCAAGCACATTAATGGCATTGACTACATTGCATTCTTCAGAAAAAAATTTACGATTTTAATGCCAATTATTGCAAATGTTATAATTTTACCTTAAATAGTTGAGTAAAAAAAACATCATTTATGACATTCCAAACCCCAAATACTACCATCTTCTCAACACAAATGAAGAGATTTTCTATATTTTGTAGTATAACTGGTTGAATCCAAGTCTTTATATGATGCTTTAATTTTACAAATTTGAAACTTTTCACTGGTTTGATGAGGGAATATTAAAAATATCTTCATTTGTGTTTCAAGTTTGGAATAACATAAGGATCTTCATTAGAGGCAGATATCGCACTGTTGATTTCATTCCACTCTTACTTTTTTCAGCTTGGTGGAAGTTTCACCTTTTGAAATGACTGGGTCACAGAATTTGAGTAGTTGTAAAAAACGAAAAACTAAAATGAACCTAAAGGTCCGAATTGGTCCCAAGTTGCACATACTAAGTATTCACCTTAACTAGCGAACCAAATTTCACAACTTTTTATCATACAGTTATCTATGGAGAGTCTGTCATGGACTCCCATAGCAGAGAAAGGGGTCAGAACAGAAACAATATAAAACAGAAACAACAAAGTGTGCAGAGGAGGGTTTGTGTTCCAGGTCAGTTGTTGTTTTAGCACTGTTTGGACAGTAAGGCTCTATCTCTCGGCAGTGTTGTTTCAGTACAACTGATATCACGCACACAGTGGACGAGCAGCATGTTAACTCTCAGCTTTTGTTTTCTCATCAGACATTGAGCAGATGGCCGGCGATGGGGCAAAAGCAAAAGGACAAAGTGATGATTTGATGGTTATTCCAGACTGAGGAACAAAATGGGAGAGAATGCACAAGAAAAAGACGAACAGGATTTGAGCAATGAGAGAAAAATACTGGTATTGTGTGTACTGTATATAATACTAGGTGAGATGTTTATATGGTAATGCAAGTGTTAAGTTGTTGATGGAGCTTGTTTGAGTGACGTGACATTTCTATAAAGCACTCATTAGATTTGTCAGCTAATGAGGTACTATTAAAGACTATATAAACGTGGAAAGATGCTTTACAGTAAGTGATTTCCAAAATATTTAATTACAGTAAATTCTTAAATATAGCCTAATGTAAATTTCTGTCTGGGACAATTTACCAGACACTGTCCTAATTGTAAAATACTTGAAATACACCCAAATTATAACAAATGTTGAACACACATGCTATAAATTTATATTCATTCTTTTGTACCACAATTATAAGAAGTGCCATGTGAAAGTGTGTATATACAGACATAACAAATATGCACGTATGTATCCATGATGCATGGATCGTACAGTATGTGTGGATGAGAGTGGAAGAGGGGCGCTGCCTCCCACATGTGAATTCCTCCATCTACAGATATATATCAATGTGATGACGGGGCTTATGATAACATGTAAATGACTTATGGCAGTTCTGTACGCTGCTCGCCTGTCTGATGTTATATAATGTGTGCGGCCGACCCTTTCGCCTCCCTAAAAACGAAGCAATGCCCAGAGTATGAACCTGAAACATCATCCTAAACTATGAATTAACAAGTGCTTCCTATGTGCCAACCAAATTTCAGTCCAAAAACATAAATGGTTAATTAAACCGAATAAAATGTAACATACAGTGAAATAACCAAACCGAGCTGGATTAAAGCAGTATTACATAAATTATACTGTCACTATCAGAACTCCTTTAAAAAAATAAAAATAAAACGAATTTCTCTGATTTCTGACATCAGAAACATCACCAAAACATTATACCCAGTGAGTTAATGTAAGTGCTGCTAATCATAAACACCAGAAGAACTAATGACTGTAAAAATGTCAAAAAGTTTGAAAATGGCTAAAATAAATAGATAAAATACAATTAAAAAAAGTTGGAGAAGTTCATTGGTCATAAACTGTACTAAAGTTATTAGTGGACCTCAGGGACAATAATGGAATTAAAAAGTTATGAAAAGTGCAACAGTGCCCACTGCCCACCGTCTTTTTCAGTTTTTCCCATAGAGATTTTGTCTTTGTTGAAAGAGTTATGATGATGATTATGATGTTTATTTTAAACCTGCATTAGTTTTCTCTTGTTATATGCCAGGACCCAAGCCAATCAACTACGAGCTGAATCACAACACTACAAACTTTGTAGAAAATGTTTTAAGCAAAAACGTTTTTGAAAATCAGACAAAAACACAAAAGGTACAAGACTGTTTACTTAACAGCTTTAGTGAGGGAAAGAACTACAGTCCCACAAAGCATTGCGAACACCATAGGCCTATCAAATAAAAAATTATGGAGAAATATAAAACTACTAATTTACTAATGTTTATTTTATACATAAAAGCAATTTATTTTGAGTTATACACACACAAAAACATTCAAGTATTTTTAGAGTGATATGCTGTGTCCGAAATCGAATATTTCCACACAATATAGTATTCGAAAAACATTACGACAAAAGAGTAGGATGTCCAAAGTCCAATAGTATTCAAAAAGCAGTAGGTGAAATGTCCACGGATGACATATTACTTCCGCCGACATTCATACTTCCGCCGGGTGTAGTACATCTGAATTGACTCGATTATGCCATTCGCAGGGCTTCTCGAGAGTGGGTGAAGTTAAAGGGATAGTTCACTTTGAAATTAATTTTTGGTATGTTTTATCTTACCTCAAGGGTATCCAAGATGTAGGCATTTTTGTTTCCACAGTATTTTCAATTTTGATATTTTTAGGTCAAACCGTTCTTGTCTGTCAGTCATATAATGGAGGTCTATGGTCACCACCTCAAAGAGCATGCACAGAGAAGTCCAGATTAAACATGATTTAATGACTCGTAAATGTAAGTACACATTGATGGTCTAAGACAAGAAACGAGCGGTTTGTGTGAGAAAACGAACAGTATTTATATAGTTTTTACCTCTTGTAACCACAGCCACGTCCAAGTGACCTGAGGGCGCTTTGGTCTGCGCAAGCGCCGGAAGTGATCCCTTCGGAAGTGGCTGTGGTTACAAGAGGTAAACACGATATCAAAACTGATCGTTTTCTCACACAAACCACTCGTTTCGTTTCTTGAGCCATCAATTTTGCTTTAATTTGGACTTCTCTGTGCATGTTCTATGAGGTGGTGACCATAGACCTGCATTATATGACTGACAGACAGACAAGAACGGTTTGACCTAAAAATATCAAAATTGAAACTACTGCGGAAACAAAGCCACCTACATCTTGGATGCCTTTGAGGTAAGCTAAAACATACCAAAAATGTATTTCAAAGTGAACTATCGCTTTAAAGAGCTATTTTTTTACCAGTTTTTTTTTTGTTGTACTTTTTCACCAGGAATTCTGAAGCAAATACCGTACCTTAGGCTAGGTCTGTCTTAAACGGTTTATAACTTATCATTCAAAATCAATTTCCCAAGGTGGAAAATGAATGGAGTACTTCCAGAACCCAACTGTTGCACTCTAAAGTTAAAGGGTTAGTTCACCCAAAAATGAAAATTAAGTCATTAATTACTCACCCCCATGCTGTACCAACCCCGTAAGACCTTCGTTCGTCTTCGGAACACAAATGAAGATATTTTTGATTAAATTTGAGAGCTGTATAACTACCACATTGGCTCCTAAAGGACTGCCTCTTGACGGCCCAGAAAGTCAATGAAGAAAATGTTTAAATATCCCAAGTGACTACCGTGGCTCAACTATATGTTTATCAAGCGACGCGAATACTTTTTGTGCGAAAAAACAAACAAAAATAACGAGTTTATTCGACTATTTCTTTTCTTCCTTGTAGGCCAGAACGAGAATTCCTTAGATTTCCACGACGCATGCGCGAGATTTGCGATCTGCTCACACCAGCCTTCACTACTTCAGATCGCAATTCTCGCGCATGCGTCGTGGAAATCTATAAGGAAGTCTCGTTCTGGCCTACAAGGAAGAAAAAAAATAGTCGAATAAACTCGTTATTTTTGTTTGTTTTTTCGCACAAAAAGTATTCGCGTCGCTTGATAAACATATAGTTGAGCCACGGTAGTCACTTGGGATATTTAAACATTTTCTTCATTGACTTTTTGGGCCGTCAAGAGGCAGTCCCTTAGGAGCCAATGTGGTAGTTATACAGCTCTCAAATTTAATCAAAAATATCTTCATTTGTGTTCCGAAGACGAACGAAGGTCTTACGGGGTTGGTACAGCATGGGGGTGAGTAATTAATGACTTAATTTTCATTTTTGGGTGAACTAACCCTTTAATCCACAGTGAAAACAGTCAGGTATACTGGACAACATTAAGTTAAGCTCCGAAAGTGAGCAATAAGTGTTTAACTGTCTTTGTTGACAGCTGGGTGAGTGAGGTACTAAAATACTGATGTCTAGATAAGGTCTAGCTGTTTTGCAGACCACGTGCAGCCTTCCGTGTGAAAGATGAAACACATTTTCTAATCAAACTTTTGTAACATGTTATTGTTCCGGCCAGGAAAGTGTATTAAAGCACGTAGTACTGTCTTTTGATGTGCGCTTGACCTATCGTTTCAGTCACTGTTCTGAGTAATGACGTTGATCTGTGTGTAAAAATTAATGAGAGCTGACGTATGGCAGACTTTTTTGACGAGCGATTTGTACTTATCTTGTGTATTGTAGTGTACCAAATGGACGGAATAATTCATTATGCATATTGCATTGTTATTCAAATGTATTTTTTAATAAATAAGATATTTCTAAATAACATCATTTGGTTGAAATTTCTTTCATCATGTACTGATGTACTGATACTGTACTTAAAATAGACCTTATAGTCATATACTGCACATACTAAGATTCTTACAAAGCCCCCAAAGGGAAATGATCATGTAAAATAAAATTAGATGGAAGAGAAAAACTTAATTTCTTGGTGAATAGCAAAAGATTTGTGAGTGAACCGAAACACACACCCAACATTTAGATCTAAGACATTATCAAATTTTATTTTTATCTTTTGTTAATTTTATTTTGATTTGAACAATGACAAAATATTACAATTTTAGTTCAGAATCTCCAAAGGGCCATGGTGATAGGAGTGGAAAATGGGGTGGCAAAATCATATTTCAATGTTTTTCGGTTCACTCACAAATCTTTTGCTATTCACCAAGAAATTGAGTACACCTTTCAATATTAACATTAGACTCCATGCAGTGACTAAAGGATCAGGTGAGAAAACATCAGAATCTAGGTCATGAGGTCATTGGCAGAATGACAGCAAATATAAGCATTACTCTCAGTATGAGGAATCTCAGATTTCCCTCACTCAATACAGAGGATGGCAGAGTTCAAGCGGTTGCTGGACAAACAGAACGGTCTAATGTGATTCCCCCCACCACAGTAAATAATAAATGTAAAATCACAGCATATGTGGGACTTATGAAGTCATAGACTCTATAATTGTGCACCACACTCGTAAAAATGTATTATAAAATCTCAACACTTGAGTCAAGCTGTTGAGTCAAGCACACTTGATATTAGCGCCTCCATCTGGTAGACAGCGGTAATGCACGAGTCAAAGTCAGTCAACTTTAGCCATTCTGTGGCAAAGGTTAAAAGCAGCAGAGGGATATGAATGATTTGTAGCGTTACTAAATATATATTAGTAGTAATAATAGTAACAGTTTCTAGAACATTTTATGAGCTAGGCCATATTACTAATGCCATATTTCTAACCTTTCTAAGGAATAGAACAAATTGCGGCAACAAAAGCATGATACAGCACATTTTAATTGAATTCTCTACAGAAATACAACAAAATTGTTGTCAAGTGATGTAATTGGGGCAGTCTATAGAACATTTTATGAGCTGAGAGACATAAGCGTCTCTCTGAGGTTCAGGAGGGCCGGTGTAGTTGCACACATTCCAGCAACTCCAACACAATGGAGTCATAAAATATGTCATACCCACCCTCTGCATCTACAGATACCACAGAAACAGACGAATGACTCGGGGAAATATAAAGTGGATGTGTGCCAGTGACTGATGATTTACAGAAACGCATACTTGTGCTCCAGTGGGGCAACGCCGGGGTCACATTATTATTATTTTTTTCACTTTTTTGTGTAGTTTAATACAGATAACATGCAAAAGTAGGTCAGTGCAGGTGAAAAAAATCTGACAGGAAAATGAGTCCATAAGAAAAATGCGATAAATGTTTTAGTCTTGCAGTATAACAAAACATTATACATATATGTATTATGCATATTTTTATGTGTAACTATTTGCATTGTGAAACGCACTATGCAGTTATGCCTTACTAAATGCCTAAAATGTATAATTAATTATAATCACACTGTTGTGTATGTTGTGTGTCATAATTAGCACAACTAAAATAGATTGCGATTTGTGGTTTTGAAATGTGCAAAAAATTAAAGTGTTCAATTTATATATATATATAAAAAAAAACTTGTAACAACACTGCAGTCAGATCTCTAATATCCTGTTAGTGTTAAAGGAGGTGGATGTTTCCCCATCCAGGGTGCACAGATTTTTTTATATCTGTCTAGAGAATAATTTCCTCCTGTGCAGGAGATTGTGATTTGCTCATTGAGCAGAACTGAGTCATACTGTGATTAATACACTACTGATCGGCAGAATAGTAGAAAGTGGACATACTTGATGCATCGCTATGACAACAGCTCACCCCTGCCTCTTGGCATTTCCTCAAGTATGGCTGGCCAGTTGGATGAGATCTCCACGAATGTCACAAAGCATATCCTACTTCAGGCCATCACTGTCCTGAAACACACACACACACACACACTGGCTGAGATCCAGCTGCAGACTGCTTTGGCATTTCATTGAGGGAGCAAATGAGGTTTTTCCCTGTAGCAACAATTTCCAGACATATCCACAGAGAATGTGTTGAGATCAGAATGAAATCCTTATTATGTCATGGGTCAATTATTCTGTGACACGTCTGCATTTATATTTATTTAAAAAATAACATTATGATATAATTCAAAATAGACGGTGAATTTAATAAATTTTCTATGACATTTTACATTTTCTACATCATCTTTGACTTGTCAAAGTACAGCTTTCCTCATCATAGTAACTGAAACTTTCAGTTATTCTTAAGTTTTTCAGCTGGCTGACCGTACAAATATTCATATGGTAGTAAGAATTTTTTTTAAAAGGGAAATGATACATTATAACAGGAAAATGTACCTTTTGTAAAAAAAATAAAAAAATAAATAAATAAAAAAACTGTGCGTATAACTGGTAAGTAGCAAATCTCGATGGGTAGCATGAATCGTCAGAACACCTGTCTAATGAGTTAGCGTAACGTATTATGCTCCCACTGTTTATTGGAAATTTCAAATGGGTCCAACCCATTAACCTCTTAGAAGGCCTGCAAAATTTGCCCGAAACGCCTAAAAAAGACCTATCCAAATTAAATTGCATGCTGTTCTTGAAC